CAGGAATGGGAGGACTGAGGTCCTGGCTCTTGGCACCTTGTTTTAAGCCCACAGCTGTGGTGCCAAGTGAGGGGGAGTTGCTGTGGGTGCTTTCTCCTACCAGGCAAGTGTCTCCACCAAATCACCTGCAGGAGCTGTTTGCTACTCACAGCTGAATGTAGAGGAGGCCCAGGAGGGCCAGGCTTTTGGCTTAGATACAGTAAGTAAGAAAAACTTAGTAAGTATGAAAGCAATGGCTCCCGCTCCCCAAAGGCGCTAAGGGCTGTATCATACACTGATTGTAGCTAAACAAACAGTCTCATCTGTACTCAAATACAAGGCATGAGCACAGTGACGCGCAGGTTCATGACCCTGAGGATTTATTGCAGAAACAGATATCGCTGCAGAAAAAATCTTCCCAGCCCTGAAAAACTTCCAGCAGAAGCAAACCGTGTCTGCACGGGTCAGCACAGGGACATCAGCTGAGTACTCAACTCTCTCTCTTCGTTCCCTGTTGAAAGCAATGCCCAGTTTGAAGTTTTTGCCCCCACCATTTAAAGAAAGCCCTCTGTGGGGCTGACCTTAGCTTACAGCAAGCCACAGCTCCTTGCATGGTCTGACTCACCATGGGGGCTGCAATGCAGCGGCACAGCACTGTTGTTGACCAGCGACAATCCCCAGTTGGGTATACAAAATTTTTTCCTAAAATATTTGAAAAAGGTTCAGCTTATCTTTTTGGCTGCGGCATCACGCCAGGTACAGATAAAAAGGGAATTTTGTACCAGAATGCTAAGGCGTAAAAGAGGAGTGGTGAAATTCCTGGGGGAGGGAAGAAGAGACATAGGGCAAGAGACTCCATCACTGCCAAGGACTGCTAGAAAAATCTTAGTAAAGAGAGACTTTTTTTTCCTATCACTTCCCATCAGAGAATAGTATACAAGGCCAGGGTTGCAGGAGAGGAAAGTTCATGAGCCTGCTGGTTACGGACCCAGATATAGGGAAATGTCTTCTCCTGGATTCACTGCTTTCCAAAGGAAGGCATGAGGAAAGTGGTGCCGTGCTTGGCTCCGCTGCATTTCTGATCTAGGGAAACTACAGGCGACCGTTATCTTTCTGATCCCATCACTATGCTTCCCAGAAGAGTTTCGGAATAGGTCTTGCCAGTGCAATGCTCATTTGCAGATGCTGAGGCGGTGCCCGTTGGAGCGACACTGCTGTCATCATGTGCTGTCCCCGCCTCTTGCTTTGCTGGAAACATCCTGAGTATTAACTCGTACACCATGAGAGCAGCTGTGTCCTTTGCCCCGAGCCTGCAGTGTGAGGACTGCCGTGGTCTGTCCCTGCAGGCAGATCCTACGCTCAGTGGGGCGCGTGTGGTCCTTTGCTGTCCACCTGAGATGGAAACAAAGTAAAGGAGGGGAAAATGAGCAAAAATGAAAAGTGATGTTGTGGGGGGGTGGTATTGTCCTTAATGCACTGGTTCTGATGTGCAGTCATCCCTTCCCCAGGTGTCATCCTTGCAAGGAAGGTTTGGGTCTGTACTTCCTAGGAGAAAGCGCTTTCAAAAGTCTTTAACTTACTATATGTTAAGAACAAGTAGCATTTTTTGAAGAAAGTAGCTCTGTGATCTCTTTATTCTCCTACTAGCAATACCAGAGGTGAAAAACCTAACAAAATTCAAACTTTAGTGATAGGCTACAGCCAAATCCCCAGCCAAGGAGGTGTCTTCTCATGGCAGGAGACCAGCACTGGCCAGTTTTCAGGTGCTGGAGGCACCTGAAGGCCTCAGGGCTGTGACGGCCCGAGGGAGGCAGGGTGCTGTGCTGACGTAGGGGCAGACCTGGCAGGGGTACCACAGTCCTTTCAGGCCCTTCCTGCTCCCCTAGCAGCTCCTGCATTAGCTGAGCCTGAGCCTGGTAAGCAACACACTTCCCAGCAATGCATAATTTTTAGTAGTTAAAAGAAAAATTCCTATTCATCAGCAGCAACTTAAAATTCTCCATAAAGCACCTGTATGCGGCTGGACCCCTGCTTAGGAGGGTGGTGTCAGACTGCAAGCTCCTGCTTTTGGGGAACATGAACCCAGTTCATGTTGCCAGGCGCATGCCCTAGCCCCAGGTTCCAGGGAAGACCTTGCACCTTGCTGGGCCCCTGCCTCCAACTTGGCATGGGGTGCGCACCCCAAAACCCAAACTGGGAACGTGGAGGTGGCGCGACCAGTCTGGAGAGCCAACACTCACCCTGATGGGTGCATTAGGGGCCAGGCCTGGACTGTAGGGATCCTTTTCAGCGTGTATTTTCTCAGAGAGACAGGAGTTTTGATGTCAGGAATAGCTTCTGCTGCCTCCCTTAGGGAGGCAGGCGACGTTTATGCTCATCCCGTGGTTTTTCCAACAGATGGCGTGAGCGTCAAAATGATTGAAGACCTGAAGGCCATGATCGACAACATCTCCCAGGAGGTTGCGTTACTGAAAGAAAAGCAAGCACTTCAGACAGGTAAAGGGCTCACTGACGAAGGCATGGGTTTTGCTTTGAGAGGGTAGCTGCTTATAAAGTGGTTACAACTGCTCTGCACGCTTTGGCAAGAGACATCCGACAAGGACTCCGTGGGAGGAGTGAGCTGGGAGAACAAAGCAAGGAGGGGTCTTGTGCAAAGCTTCTAGGCAGCTGAAGCTCCTCCAGCGGTTAGTGAGTGACGTGAGCTGTGCAGCGCATGTCCCTGTTCTTCATATGCTAGAGCTTTGCGTTTTTACAGCTATTGATATTTCTATGACACTAAGCCAGATGTTCATTTTCCTTCATGAATCAGAGGGACGGGTAACAGATTGTTGTGTGCTTCAATCAAATGTACTCTTTGCTACCTGCTTTTGCCCAAAACCCAGTGAAATGGGTTAGGTGGCCTGACCTGCTGTATACATTGCAGTATTGCCCAGAGAAACTCACTGAAGGTCAATCCCACCGTGCTTTGTGCGATATGAGGACAGTGCCAAGATGGTCATCTCCTGGACATGCTCCACGGCTGCTCTGTGTGGAACATCATAAGCGAGGGGCCTGCAGAACATGAAATAGGGGTGCGAGAGAAATGCAGGCTAAGGAGCATTTTCTCTCTGAAAGAAAAGGAACACAAGCACAATTAAGGCTTTAGAGCCAAGTCACATTCCTTGAGATGTAATTGGTTTGGATATTAATGCATGGCTCTAATTAGTTATTGTTTGGATGGAGTACCCTGAGCTCTTGGGGTTTAAAGCTTAAAAAAAAAAAGTTGCTATTCTTAACAATAAAATCAGATGCAAGTAGAAACTTCCTCTGAAGACCTCAAGCTATGCAAGCACAACACTTCCAATCAAACTCTATGAAAAACACATTTTTCATGTGTGCATAATTAAGATGATTGAATTAGATTTGTACACTTTTTCCAAAATTCTTCAGCACCCAGCAGAGACAATAAAAAATCTTGCCTCCACAGGAATTTGTCTGAGAAAGTGTAACAGCAGCTGGAAAATAGAGAAGTCAGGGAAAGGAGAATGAGAATCACATTGTAGCTTTGCTCTGGGAACACAAGAGCACAGGACAGTCGTTTGGACACCCTGAGGTCCCTTTTTCCTAACTATTTAGCAATAGGAAGCACATATCCCTACAGCCATACCGTGCAGCTTACCCCAGGTAGGAGAGAGATGGCCCCTAGGGATGCTCATACTGTTGGAAATGACATTATGAATTGCTATAGGCTTGGAAAAATGAACTTTGTAATTTAACTGCTGTGTTTGCTGCTGCCGACTATTCCTGGGTGCAGTTTTTAAAGCAGATTCCTTTTCTGTTTTTGTTTGTGTGGTAATTTCTTAGTTTGTCTGAAAGGCACCAAAATCCACCTAAAATGCTTTCTTGCGTTTTCTGAGACGAAGACATACCATGAGGCCAGCGAAAACTGCATCTCTCAGGGAGGCACCCTCAGCACTCCCCAAAACGGAGAGGAAAACGATGCACTCTACGACTACATGCGGAAAAGCATCGGCTCAGAGTCAGAGATCTGGCTCGGCCTCAACGACCTGGCAGCTGAGGGCAAGTGGGTCGACATGACGGGCACCGGCATCCGCTACAAGAACTGGGAGACTGAGATCACCACCCAGCCGGACGGTGGCAAGTCGGAAAACTGCGCGGCCTTGTCGGGGGCCGCGGTTGGCAAGTGGTTTGACAAGAGGTGCAAAGACCAGCTGCCCTACGTTTGCCAGTTCATGATCGTGTAATACCAGGGCTCCTCCTGCCGACCACGTTATCCCATTTGGCAACAGGTTTATAAAGCTATAGGTATGTGTATGTGTACATATACACACACGCACGCACACACACACACACACACGCACACACACACACACGCACACACACACACACACACACACATTCAAATAGAGTCACTCTGCAAAGAAAGTTGTCGTGGCTTGGTAACGGATTAGGGAGAGTTAGACCTGAGCTGCATTGCATGTGGCTACATCCAGCTCTGTTAGCAGCTGCACTGTTCTTACTAAAGCATGATTTATAGATATATTTTTTTACATGGGAAACTTATTAGGATGGCGTGATCATTTCAGCAAAGAACCGGTGCAACGTTCCAGCCTTGCAAACCAGCCGCTTTGGTTGTCTGGGGCGGCCGCTCTGCAGTTTCTTTTCCGTTCTTGCTGAATTTGTTGCAAGACCAGCAAAGCTAGTTTGTGCTTTTTTCTTCTGTTCTTCTTCCTCATAAACCCTGACAGCAGTCCATGGGAGCCGGGCATAAGGAGCGCAGAACTGAGCTTTAGTCACTCGCAGTGCCCAGATCCACTCTCCTGATCTTCCTGATCCTCCTGATCAAGGTCCTGTCTCAAAGAGCAGGGATAGTTACTTCTGCTTTACGTTGAGAGATATAATTGGGCTTACTGGCTGAGTACCCTACAACTCAATAGGTGGTCAGACTAGTCCAGCTACATGTATGAATGGATTAGCAAATGAGAGTCACGGGTCAATTTGCTGAGAAGAAGGGTGACCTTTTCAGAAGCACTTCCTATTGTGTTGCTTCATTTCTCATCAGTCAGCGGCAAATGTTCCACTGATTTCAGTGAGAGCTACCCCCAGTGCCAGATCTCTTACAAATCCCACCAGAAGCTTTATTTGTGCTCCAGCATCAGGGAGGAAGCTGCGATTCTTCTACAGCTTACTCAGTCAAATATATTCTTGGAAATAGAAGATGAAAGTATTAGGTAAATGACAGAAATTTAAGGCAATTATGAAATAGGCTGTCATACAAAAGACAGCTGTCTATTGAAAACAAATCCCAAGAAAAGTGATTTTAGCCGTCTTAGGAATCACAGGATCTGTTTTAGTGATAGAAACTCAGCTGAAATGTGCCAGTCCTTGTTGGTCAAGGCTCAGTCCTCAGCTAAAATAATTCTGCTGAGCTGTGTTTGGGCTGATAAAGTCATGCCCCACCGAAGATCTGGCTGCAGTATATATTTGCTGAGAAAAGGGTTACTGCAAAAAAATTTAAATGAGCAGCAATGATGGGAAAAAAACGAGTTGCAGGCCACTCTGACAGCTCAGTGAGGCTGTGCTAACGTTGATTTGCTTACTGTCGGCCGAAACGTATCAGCGGTTCTTTGAATTTCAGTGCTTGAGAATAACTCATCCAGTGTAAGTTATATGCCCCTTGTGCTATCAAGTAGAGGGTGTCAGGATGTAACACGCGCTCTTGGGGAGCCCACAGAAGAAGTATTTCAATGTGCCGCTTGGTTTAAAAACAGCACAATTATGTGTCTTCCAAAATGCTGAGCGGGAGAGCCAAGTTGGAGGAATCGAAATACACACACACACACACACACACACACAGAGTGCATACTTCTGAGGCTGTCATTATTGCCAAACTCTCCGCTGTTCAAATGACTATAAAATAAAAATATATATAGCTTGCTGAAAGAATAAAGTTGAGTCAATTTGATTGGACTGCTTTCTTTTCTCGCTCCTTATATTTTTCTTCAGAGCGATGCCAGGGACCTGTCAGAGGATCAGAGACCACAGAGGCAGAGAGGAAAAGCAGAAAGCAGGAGCCTCCTGCTCTATGATATCGTTTACAGGATTTTCCCTCATGTTATCATCACATTTGCATGCCACATGAGAGAGAGAGAGACAGGCAGGGAACCCTTTTATAGGCAAATAAGATTTACTTCCCCCTTGCTGCTGGGAAAATTAACTCCAAAATAGGAGCCAGCCCAGCAGATAGGTCCTTCCTGGCCCTGAGGAGTCTCGCCCTGCGTTTGGTAGCAGCAGCCAAGTGTGGCCGCTCCAGCGATGGCGGCACCTTGTGCTACCAGGGCAGCGCCAGCATTTCCCAGGCTGCCTCCCAGCTCCTCCGCAATGAGCACAGCTGGAGCAGCCACATCTGTCCTTCCTCAACGTGGTGGCAGCTTCTTCCTCCTCCTCCTCGGCTTCCCGTGGAGGAGAGGAGCTCATGCTTCCCCTTAGAAGAAAATACTTGGCACCAGCCGGGAAGGTTTCAACTGCTGCCAAATTTCGTGGGAAATTCAGCCCCTTTTGCACAAGTGGGCAGCCGCATGCTGAACTTCGCTCCCCCAGCCCAGTCCTGAGGGTTTCCGGGCTCTTTGCCCATAGATCAAGGTTGCACTCTACGTGCCAGCTTCACTCTGTCCCAGCATGCATGCTTCAGGTCTCCATGGCTGAAGCACCCTCTGTTGGATGTAGGATGCCAAAAATGACCATGCAGTTTTGGGGCTAGATTTATGAGTTTAATAAATATTTTTCTGTACATTTCCTATTGATTGTACATTATGAACTATGAATTGTTTTAAGAAGGCCAAGGAAAAAAAAGGCCAGTTCAGAACAGACAGATGAGCTGACCATTTGTGTATTCAGTTTCTCGGTGGCAGGGAAATTCTCAAAGATCTCTCATCGTTGCCTATGACAGTACTTTTTTTCTTTTTCTGGTCTTCTGAAGTCCAGCTTGCAAATATTTCCTCTGTCCTTGTTCCACCTCCTCCTATTGCAGGATTTTTTTTTAGCATAGCCTACCATAGACTGTGCTAATGTCTGCAATAGCAGAGCGAGGCAGAAGCAGTGGATGGAGGGGAAGAGGACAAGCAGGAAGAGGAAAGGCACCCCTGGCACTATGTACGGCGTTTCTGTGGCCAGTCCAGACACTTGTGCTCACAGCAAACACCATGGGATGAGTTTGAACTAGGAGCCCTGGTTACCTCCACATGGGCCCCATCTGCTGGGGGCTGGCACCAGCATCACCTTTTTGATCTTTCTTTAACTCTTTTTGGCGTTTGTGGCAAGCCAGAGAGAAAAATCTGCCACCCACAAAGTGCAGTCTCCACCAAAGGCGCTAACGTCTGCAACGCAGACGAACGGAGAGAAACCTCAGCTCTTCCACAAGAAGAAGAAATGCGGAAGTGATCATATTGGAACCAATATATTGTGATGCCTGAAATCTTAAACACATCTCACGTTATTAAAACAGATAGGTACGGTGTCAGATCTTGTGCCACTGACTATGCTGCTCAGCTGCCTGTGACTCTTAACAGAGCAGTGGAAAGACGAAGCACCAAAGGCACATATATTTATATAAACAAAAGAAAAAAAGTGACTGGGTGAGATTGTCAGGCAGTGTTAAGCCAGCACCACCCTGCCTACATCTGACTTTGATAGAGCTAGGCTAATTTACACAACTTATTGCCCTGACCCCAGTTCGCCAAGGTCCTTAAGGACAGCTAAAGGACCAACTGGTTAAAGGTGGCATGGTTAACCATGAGATGGTTAATAACACTTTTAAATATCTCATTGAGCAAGGGCCAGAATCAAGGGCCCGTTATTAATGTACATTAGCACCCAGGCCAGCAGCCAGATGGCTCCTGGCTTAAGCCACTGGTCGGGGATTAGTGCAGCAGCAGCAAAGGTGGGCAAGAGCCTGGGAGCCACAAGCCTACAGCAATGCTTTGGGTCCTGAGAGTGAGCAGTTTTGTGGAATTCAGTCCTTACCAGCCTGGGGAAAATCCAGAACAACAAGCTCAGTGACACGGAAGAAGGACCAGGACCACAAGCTCTGATAGGAAGACAAACTGACGTTGAGAACGAGCACCCAAGCCCAAGCTCTCTGCATCTGTTCATCCCTGGAGGCTAGGCAGGCTGGCGTCTCTCGCCACACAGGTGTCCTCTCTCCCCGTGATCTTCTCAAGGAACAGCTCCCGCCGGCCTCCATCCCCGCCTGTCACTCTGACCAAAGTATAACACCAGCTGTAAGATGCACTGGCAACTCTCCAAAGGGAAGGAGCGCCTCCCCCTTGCACCACCACATCTTGTTCTTGCTGTAGGATTTGCTCTTTGGTCCAGCTCCTACTTAAGCACTGAGCGCCCTGTTTAAGTACCTGACCTCCTAGTCTGTCCTTTCACAAATAAGGTTGCGCAGAAGTTACAGGTATCTTCCTCAGCGGCTGGCACACACACACAGAGGAAACACAGATCTGTGAGGCTCAGCAAAGGTCAATAAGCCAAACTGACAGGAGCATAAATTTAGGAAAGAATAGGGCTCAATGCACTGATGGAGAGGGCAAAAATCATCACTCTTAGGGTGTACGAAAAAGCAGGAGAAGAGAGGATATCAGAGCACGGTGTGCAGAACAAGTTAAAAATGCTATCTCCACCTTGAAGCAGCCAGAAGTGTCTCCAGGGAGTCTAAAGGTAACAGATGGGGACTGCTGTTAATACAGCTAAAAGGAAAAGCACAAGAGTCTTAGCTGTGATCCCCGTCCAGCAGCCTTACCGTTCTGGTCTGCTGTTTAAAAACAGGATGGCGGCTGTGTTAGCTCCCCGTAACCTCCAACACAGATGTTTCACTAAAAGTCTGGGCCATCGCTGCTGGCAACTGCTGTAACATATCCAGTGTCTACAGCCTTGGCCTTTTCTAACCAATGCTGTATTGTGAACATGCAGTCTTGCCCGCAGCAAAACAAGAAAGAAACGCAAAGATGACTGCACGGCTAAGATCTGAGGCCAACTGCTCAAAGGGAACTTGTTCCTCAAACTCTCAAATGAGCTTGGGTACAGCCACCACAGCTTCACCTAAACCCCTTCATGTGAGGGCTGCTAGACACAGGCTAGACTTTGGACACCAGGAGGTTGCTGTATTGCTTGCACGTTTTGGGCAAAATCTGTAGTTAAGAGCCTCTGCAGCAGGGCATGATTTCTCACACAGGTAACACCACAGTTGCTGCATGCGCCTGTGTATACACACGTGGGCAGGCAACATTAGCACGTAGACTTGAACTAAAGAATATAACAAACCAGAGAGTTAATCACAGGAAATATTTGCTTTTACTTAAGTCCTGTTAGAAAGCTAACCCTGATCCTATAAACAAGAAAAGAAAAGAAAACAAAACAAAGAAACCACTTAGCAACCTTACGCGCTGATAATGAAGAACATGTTTCAATAAGCTATCTTTAGAAAACACCGTTTTGGAAGCACTGCATCTTATAACAGTAAATGCAATAGGGGAAATAAAGCCTACACTGCATCCTGCTTTGCAGAAATACCCTGAAGCCCCACTGCAATAAGAGTAATGCTTTTTATTTTTGTGACAGCCATCAACGGTGAATCACAGGGATCTCAAAAGCAAGGTCTCTGTCATTGAATATTGTACCCTGTTTCTATGTTTCTCAGCACTGGTGAGACCACATCTGGAGTGCTGTGCCTGGTGCTAGGCTCCCCAAGAGCACAAGGGAGACACGGACATACTGGAGCAGGTCCAGCAAAGGGCCTCAAAGATGAATAGGGGGCTGGAGCATCTCTCATATGAAGAGAGGCTGAGAGAGCTGGCACTGTTCAGCCTGGAGAAGAGAAGGCTCAGGGGGATCTGATCAGTATGTATGAATATCTGAGGGAAGGGCTGGGGGGGGATAAAGATGACAAAGCCAGACTCTTCTCAGTGATGCCCACTGACAGGACAAGAGGCAATGGGCACAAACTGAAGCACGAGAAATTTCATTTAAACTTAAGAAAAACTTTTTACCATGAGGGTGGTCGAACCCTGGACCAGGTTGCCCAGAGAGGGTGTGGAGTCTCCTTCCTTGGAGATATTCAAACCCAACTGGACATGGTCCTGTGCAATGTGCTCTAGGTGACCCTGACTGAGCAGGAGGGTTGGACCAGCTGATCTCCAGAGGTGTCTTCCAGCCTCAGCGGCTCTGAGCAGACACAGACACTGAGCAGGGGATCCTACCTACCTATCTGGCTCCTCTGCTACAGTTACAGGAGAGGAACAGGCAGTCCAGGGGCACTCATGACTCAGACACCCAATAAATGAGCTGTCACATGGAAAGTCTTCCTATAAAGGAAGGCTATCAGGGAAGTTGAGAAAACTCTCTCTCATGAGACACAATTGTGACAGCCCTAGAGTTTTAGACAACTTTTTTTTTTTAGAGCTTTGTCAAGAGTGATTAAATACAAGAGCTGAAAGTCGATACAGTGATTCAGCCCAAAGCAACTGAAAAAATTCCACTAGAACACCAAAAAGGAAACAAGGCACATCGTTGTATATTAAATGATCAGTACCAAAACACTATTCATGATTGGGTAGATCCAGCTGTGATACAGCATAATCACAGTGAGGTATTGCTTTACTGTTAAATCAGCATGGTCCATAGGCAGATTTAATTTCATCTGGATTCACATGCAGCCTGGATGCAGTCTCCACCACTGGGACTGCCTGGATCCAAATCCAATCCCCAGGCACTCCGAGCCACCCCGACGCACGGGATCCAGACTTCAGCCTGTAAGAGATGCTACAGGTCCTACCAGCCTGCGTGTCAGTGCAGAGTTTCTGAAAACCACTCCAGTAGCTCTTGGCTTTTGTATTTTATTCTATAATATGTCAGAACAGAAAGCCAAAACCTCAGGAAGGTGGACTTTAAAACAGTCAGCTTTTA